TGGAGGAAAAAAATACACATTAGAGCAGTTACCAAAAGAAGTCATACTTGGACCTAGGGTTGGATATTACGTGTTGGTATATAATGTAGTTTCTATAGAGATAAAAGAACTGTGTTTGTATTCCTTTTTAGGGGTCTGTAATAAAATGTTTAATATATATGTTCCTGGGGCGCCTGGGTGGCTCCGTCAGTTAAGCGTCCAACTTCGGCTCAGGTCATGATCTCGCGGTCCGTGAGTTCGAGCCCCGCATCGGGCTCTGTGCTGACGGCTCGGAGCCTGGAGCCTGCTTGGGATTCTGTGTCTCCCCTTCTTTATGCCTTTCCCCCACTGGTGCTCTGTCTCTCTCTCTCTCTCAAAAATAAACATTAAAAAAGGTTTTTTTAACATATGTTCCTCATACTGTTCGTTTGACACAGTGTGTGAAAAGAAAGGAATTGTGTTCAACCAGGTGTGAGAAACCATGCAAAGTACCCCTCCCCCCTCCTGCTTGGAAACTCATAATCTAAAGTGATATGGTAAGGGTTCCAGAAACCAGACTCTTTCAAAGGATCGCTCGACCTTCATTAACCTTGCTTCCCAACTATTATCCTTGGAACAGCCTTTTGCAGATAACAACTATTCGTAGCCCAAGGAAAGGGTCTCCCATGGAAAATATTTTAAGAAAACTACTGTTCTAGGGTATTACTTGGGAACAAAACCCAGACGATTTGCGTTGACTCTGCCCTTAGGGCAAGGTATTTGCAATGCTTTCTTTTTGGTCTGTAAGTGATCAAGTCACCTATAAGGACGGTGACAGGGTACGGGAGAGGGGTGGGCCTCACCTGTGTGACCGGCGCGTACCTGTCAGCCCAGAATACAGGCGACAGGAGGGTGGGGGCTGAAAACATCCCACCACACTCTCGCTGCTGGCAAACGTCGACGGGGAGTCCGAAAGCGCCTTTGTTAGGTCTCAGAGCCATTTCTTCTGCGATGTTCTTCCTTCTGCGATTGTATCTGCTTCCTACTTCAAATCTTTCTTCTAAAACTGCTGCGGCTCATGTGGACCCCACTTATTTTCATGATGATGATTTATAACTTTATTTGAAATCCTCCAACCGTACTCCTAAGTAATTGCATAACTCCATTTCCATAATGTTCTAGAACACACTCTCCTTTCCCACCCCACATCCTGTGAAACTATATTAAAACAATAAAATAATTATGGCTGAAATTCATTGGCATCCTAGTGAACATTTGCGCCAACTATCGCAGAATGACTAAGTGTATGATAAAACTTACGAGAATAAGTCTAAGTGCTTTAAATTTATTTGTCCTCATTTGGAATGGTGCCATGTAATTAGGACATAATCAAGTATGCAGTAAAAGTTTGCTGAATAAATGAATGCATAAGTCACTCTTCTTCTCATGGACACCCACGTAGAGGATCATCAGGGACAAATGTATCTATCTATCTCGTTACATATATATACATATATATATATACACACACACAAATATATCTAGATATAAATACATAATCATGTCTCTCTACATAAGCTTATGAGCTGAATAATATATCATTACGAAATGCAATTGTGATAAAATTATTAACCAACATGAAAAACTGCAATGTTCTGGTGATAAATTCTGGAAATGCTTCCCTGATGAAAACCAGGTCCAGTAACGTAGTATAAAAGACAGTTAAGCATAAGATTCGGAATAATGTAATGCTGGGCGTCTATATTTAGGATTCATCAATTCTTTAGCGAAGAAGGCTCAGCCTGAAACAGTATACAAAGGGCTTTATGCAGGAAAAGTCAAATGTCTAAGTAAGAAGGAGTGTGGCATGTTTGGGGGGAGGGCAGCCCAAGAGAGAGAAGGCCTGTCTTTACCACAAGCATGATGGTGGTTTCAAATCCACGGGAAAGAAGGCTCGGTCATGCTAGGAATCATTAAAGAAAAGACGAAAATGTCTCAGATTTCCATGAAAAGAAGATAAACCTTCAGCCTCATATTTGGATACTTGATCTGGTATCACCTCCAAGATGAGAAAGTTAAATGGAGACTGTATTTCTAAAGGGAATCTCTGTTGGTCAGGCCCCCTCCTTCCATTAGGGGAAGGTATTAATTGGGCAAACACATCGCTCCCTCTCAGACCAGCGGTTGGTTTAATAGCGACTCAGCCTGTTGGTTTAATGACTCAATAAAAAAAATGCAACATCCTCTTTTTATAACGTTTTTCACGTGTAAGGCTTCTTTACAACGAAGAGATCCAGGAGACTGAGATTTGGGTAAATGGGACAGACGTCACAGGGAATGAAGCTAGTGACAGTGTGTGTAGAAGCCCCCTTTTGAAGGGAAAAAGAAAATGATACTATAACCTTAAGAAATGGTAATCCTTGTGGCTCCTGTGTGGCTCTCGTGGTTGGGCATCTGACTCTTGATTTCGGCTCAGGCCATGATCTCATGGTTTACGGGCTCCAAGCTGTCAGCGTGGGATTCTCTCTCGCCCTCTCTCTCTGCCCCTCCCTCTCGCTCTCGCGCGCTCTCTCTCAACTAAATAACTGAAAAAAACTTTAAAAAAATATCCAGATATGCCTTCCATACCCCTCTCATTGGCAATACTGGTTTTTAGGCAGAGAGTATAAAAGAGATAACTATTAATCATTGTACTGTGATAGCAAAGTGAAAGCTGTGAGGTGATAGTCCTCCAATAAATACGTCCCAGAAGGGCCAACGCTGATATTTGATGGTATTATTTTTCAAAGGTTGTCATAAATCAATCTCACCCGCAGAATCTACGGGGGATTAAATACACATTTTAGGATTCTAAAAGGCTTTTCCCCCCGAATGTTCTAAGTCTTTGTGACTAAACTCTTGTTCTGTTTTACCTTCTTTTCCATTACTAGGATAAACATTAGCACCTTTTGCATTATTGACTTGCCCTCAAAACTAATGGCACTTTTCACTGCATGGCCCAATGTAACTGATAGAATCAGACCATGCCTCTTCTGATTTCCCTCTAAAGAAAGAAATCTTGTTTTCCAGGTAGCATGTGGAACTCAAAGAAGATGGAACGGGGTTTGGTATGGCATATCCCTAAAATTAAAATCAGGGTATATGTTTCAAAAATGTGAAATGTCACTGAATGGACGAGGTGGAAGCCATCTTATTCCCAGGACCCCTGTCGTATCAGGACAAGAAACTGCAATTGGTTAGGTGTTTGCCTACCACGTCTCCCAACGTGATGCCGATTCATTCACAAATACCCGGAACACCTTTACCCTGCATGGTGCATGCAACAGTGTTCCAAGGGGACAACGGTGACACATAAGCGAACACATACTGGAACAGAGAGTGAACCAAACTGGTGGTAAAAACATGACCTTCCTCCATAAGGTCAAATAGTTTTATTTTGATTAAACACTACAATACAGTATATATCCATTAAAAAAAAAAGAAAAGAAAACTCTATAGAGTATATAAATTATTCCTTCCATTCATCAATCCTTCTCTTTCCCGTTACAGCTTTGGTACGATGTGATTTCGGTATATGATCTTTCAATACTTTTAGCATCACAAACTCAACACAAAGTACAAAACTAATAATCCAAATGAGGGATATTATCATCTACACAGTGGTGTTCAGTGGTAGGAGAAAATCTTACCTTGATGAAATCATGTCACTAGCTAAGCTACAAAGGCGTACCTAGCAGACATGACAGAAATATGCACCATTGACCAGCTAATGTGTGTATCAGTCTTTGTGTGTGTGTGTGTGTGTGTGTGTGTGTGTGTGTGTGTGTGTTTACAGAATACCAGCAGCGATCGTTTGGGTGTTGAGTGAATACGTTAAGTCCTCAGCCAGCGTCCCACCTTTGCTCATCTTCCCTCAGCGGCCACGAGCGATCTGGAGACACGTACCGCAGCCACAGTGCTCAGAATTTGACCTGCCACCCGGTGTGGCTCACACTTGCACAGTTTGTCCTGCAGCTAGCCGACATCACGGGGACAGTGCTGGAGGGGCAGTGTGGACCGATCAGCCTCAGGTTGTTCTGAGGGGTCGGCGGTGTGACGTTACAGTAGACAGGCATTCCGGTGGCCTGGAGAGACCCTTGACCTGCCTGGTCAGGTAGCAAGATTGGCTGTTGGTATGACTGCTGGGGAAGTCCTTGAGAGCCCTGGGTCATTGGCACCTGGAGGAAGACACAAGAGAGAGCCCTTCGTGAAGAGGTTGTGCCTGCAGGTCCGGTAAGCCACTGTGGTGTCACAAAACATACTCAAGCATTTGGGTGAGACCTAACTGGTCACCTATCCCGGACAGACCTCTGTCAGCTGTTTTAATCAGGCAAGTCACTTAGCGTCGCCAGTTCCCTGGACCATGGGCATCATGACACCTGCTCACAGGGCCCCTGAAAACCTTGCGGGGATGATGTACCGTGCGGGGACCCTCCAGGGACTACGGTTTGGATCTCCTGCTCTGGATTTCGCTCAGTGGGGAAAGCCGCATTCCCATTCTGGTTTTATGCAGACAAAGTGGCCTGGAATCATCTACAGCAACAGAGACCTACCTCACTCTCAGCCTGCAGCTTTAGAGAGCCATGGAGCTGGAGGGAGAAACTGATGCAATGTGAATAAGGATTGTCAGCTAGGAGGGCCGAGGACAGACTTTTTATTTTGCTTTGGCTTGCTTGTTTGTTTGTTCGTTTTAGGGCCAGACGTGGCTGGTGCGGCTAAATTTAATGATCGGAGCATTTCAATAACCCTTCAGAGTATTTTGGGACGTCAGTCCCAAAAGGGTGTGTGACATTTTTTAAATACCCGGGATGGGTTTAGTCAAGAAAATGCAGTTGGTAGGCCCTCTACATGCCCTTTGAATAAATCTGAGCTGCCGTGTCTCCTTTAAATTAAAACTGTCGTGACATGAAATTTTGGAGGCTGTGTACTAAAAATGCATGGAAGCTTGTCATGAAGGCTTTTTCCCAATAGGCAAAATCTCAATGGACTATCCAAAGGTCTTCGTGAATATCACTTTAGACTACAGCATCTTCTTCCGCGAATAGAAGTTTATAGAGTTTAAATACCTTTTTAGCAGGACATTCAGAAGCCACAGTAGTAAGAGAAGCATGCGTGTCCCGTTTTCTGCTCTTCTGCTAATCTTAATTCAAAGTCAACCATCGACAGGAGCTGGGCATGGCACCCCCCACCCTGCTGACCATCCATTACGGGGCGGACTCACGGCCTCTACTTTGGCAAGCTCTACTTTATAAACCAGGATTTTCCAAGCTGCTGATGTGCACCTGATAAGAAGACATTGTTGGGTAGGAGACCATCACGCCTTGCACCGGATTCCCCGGTTGGTTGCTCATCACGTTCTGACTCTGGGAAGGCTGTTGCACTCCTATGAGGCCTTGGAACCCCTGTTGACCAGACAGGACTGGCTGGTAACCTGCCAAGAAAAACCACCTTTTGAACAGGCTGTGCCAGCAAGAACACAAGTGAGATTTCATGGGGGTAAAAGCACTTGTTCACAAAACCTTCAGACATCCCAATCTCCCCATCAGCGGGGTGTTGTCTAAATACTTATTTCCTAGGAATGCGTCTTGTTGCTCTAAGAGGAGACAAGAGTATGATGCCAAAAAAATTCACTGATATTTACATCTTCGGGCAGAACGGTCCGGCGAACACGACGTGACAATGGTCAATTTTTTTTACGGCACAAAGACAGGAACCTCTATTGGTATCACCGGCCCTCTGATATCTGTGGTTTGCTTTGTTTCAATGATATTCGGAGTATTCGTAAATTATCAAGTGGTTTTTTTTTTCTAATTAAATTGACTCATTCTCTTACTATCTCACCTTTCAGCACAAACTCATTTCACCCAGTGATCATCAAACTGCCTGTTAAATTTTTATTTTCCATGCCCTAGTGAACAAAATGATTCACTACTCTGACTAATTCAACGTCCACTGCCATAGACAAAAGGCAGCAACTGGAGAAAGATACGGCATGCTTTTTATTCTGTTTCAACGCCGGCTCCCCGGCGAATATTCTGGTACTCCAATAAGTGACCACGTACGTTAATAATACGGAATACAGCACTTAAAAAAAAAAATGTCTCTGTTGTGTCCTTGTGAGTGGGTCAGTTGCTTGGGTTTCTTTTCTTTTTGAAGTGTATCACAATTTAAATCTTGTAATCATTTTAATCCCCACCACAAGTGGTTTCAAATGCATTCTTTTTCTTTTTTCAAGCTTTTATTTATTTATTTTGAGAGAGCGAGAGCAGGGGAGAGGCAGAGAGAGAGAGAGGGAGAGAGAGGATCCCAAGCAGGCTCCATACTCTCAGCGCAGAGCCCGACGTGGGGCTCGAAGTCACGAACCGTGAGATCGTGACCTGAGCCGAGAGCAAGAGTGGGCTGCTTAACCGACTGAGCCACCCAGGCGCCCCTAAATTGCATTCTCAAAGGAAGGGAACACTTCTTATAGAATTCCTGGGAAGAAGGTTATGATTTAGGTCAAAATGATGTGGTGGTAGAAAAATAAAACAGATTCACTTCATGACGTAAAGTAAGGTCTTTCCGGAGCTTCTACTACAAACCATACTGACTACTCTAGAAAAAGTCCATCCGCTGCCTTAACACAATTCTCTGAGAGAAAAATCTTTAAGATCTCAGATTGTTTTAAAACACAAACACTAAGCCATGTTTTACAGCCAGATTTTAAGAATCGAAACAATCAATATGCATTGTTAATAAATAATCTGCATTTCGAGCGCATGTGAGAGTTTTAACTTTATATGGAGGACAGGTAAAATTATATTATAGTCTTTGCAGGGGGCAACATCTTGCTCTCCTTTGGCCTACTTATAATTGCCTTCACTCATCACAGAAATATTGTGGAAACAATGGCTTGTGAATAGTCCCTGAGTTGGGAGATCAGCTCCATTGGTCACACAAGCTGTCTTCAGTCTGGAACACCTGAGAACAACAAGTCTGGGGAAAAGCCAAGCTGGGAGGCCTGCCCTGTGCTGGCCGCTGAGGGGGCCAAGTGTGGACTTTCGAAAACCACCCTTCGATCTTCCTGTGTCCCATTGTTTTACCTTCACATTTGTCACCCTACTTCAGCTTCAAAGTGGTTTGAGCCTGCTATTTTAAGTTTTTGTAAGGACATCACATATTAAGAATGTAATTAAGAGTCACGACCATCTTCCCTCCGACTACTTTGTGCCCACAGTCAAAGCCTTCCCTGGACGTGCTCTGCAGGCCTACGTAAGACTAAGAACATCGGCTCACGGGCTGCGTTCCTAGAAGGTTTACAGGTTATACAAAAAAGGAAACCCCAGCAGACTCGGGAATAAGAAATCGGGACACAGGCCATGTGACGACCCTCACTATCTCCCAGAATGCCTCGTCTGCAGAGGCACTTGGGAGAAATTTATTTTAACACTGCAGACATACCTTGTTTCTTGGGGCTTTGCTTTAACACGCTTCGCAGATACCGTATTTTCTACAGATCGAAGGTTTGCGGCAACCTTCAGATGAGTCTGTTGGTGCCATTTCCACAACAGCGTTCGCTCCCTTTCGTCTGTGTGCTACAGTTTGGGGTTTCTCACAGCATTTCAAAGTTTTTCATTATTATGTTTGTCATGGTGGTCTGTGATCAGCAACCAGTGACTGCAACTTGCGCAAACCTCAGATGATGGCCAGCCCATTTCAGCAGGAAGTATGTTTTAATTAAGGTACGCACGTTGCGTTTTTAGACTTAAGGCTATGCTACACTTACTAGACTACAGTACAATGTAAACATGAGTCTTACATGCACTGGGAAGGCAAAAAACTTCGTTTGGCTCGCTTTATTACAATAGTCACTTGGTTGAGGTGGTCTGGACCCGAACCCGTCACACCTCTGGGAAATGCCTCTCCTTGCAAACAGTCGTGGTCTATTATTTCCCTTGCCTAGATAGTCCACTCTAATGCGTATATCCATTGGCCCTGCAAAATTCTCTTACTCTTTTACCATTTTGTTATGACATTATTCCTGCCCCTATCCAACTCGTGCTAGCAAGAATTGTCTTACATGTAGGAAAACAACCTGATACGAATGTAGACAAACGATCACCCGCCGTATTCCTCCCCATTGAATTCCACAGCAAAGAGCAGACACTGTGAATACACTTTATAGTCCATGTGATGGTAAATATAATAGAGCCTTATTTCTGGCTGAAGATTCAAAGCACAGGTTGAAAAGGTGAGGGATGTCTTTGAAAATTCTGACTTCTATCTGGGCACATGGTGAAAGCCCCGTTGGGTCTTTTTGGTTCTTTTTGCGGAACATACCTAGCTAAGATGGGAACAAAAGAGGGGAGGAATGGAATGGGGGGTGGGGAGGAGGGGTGCGGTGGCCTTGCTTCAAAAGATTATTTATGTAGTTGTTTACTGAATCCTTCCGTTCTCTCAGAGTCCTCTTCAAAACGTTCAAAACTAAACTGACATAACCTATGAGAGATTCATTTATTACACCAGCTCTAAACCAAAATTGGGATGAAGGGAAATAAGTCCTTTTTTTTTTTTTTTAAGTTTATTTACTTTTTTTGAGAGAGAGCGAGAGAGCAGGGAAGGGGCAGAGAGAGAAGGAGAGAGAGAGAATCCCAAGCAGGCTCCACACTGTCAGCTTGGAGCCCGACATGGGGCTCAAACTCACAAACCGTGAGCTCGTGACCTGAGCCGAAACCAAGAGTCAGATGCTTAACCGACTGAGCCACCCAGGTGCCCCAGTTTTATAACAGAGCCGTTTAGACATACAGAAGCAGACTGTCTTGATAGGAAAAGGAAGTGCACTCCAAATAACATTCAAGGAGAGAAAAACCTGCCGGGGGCTGTGTGGCCCCATCCCCGTACAGGCCCAGACCTGGGGGTGGGATGCATCTCTGCCCAGAGCACTGATGCAGTGCACGACGGTGACGCCCTCCCCCGGCGAGACTTGCGGATGTAAATACTCAGTCGTGCAGAGAGCAAGGAGCCACCAGCTCTGCACTGGGGTCCCGCGGTAAACACACTTAAGGCACATAAAGATTTATGCGGGAAGCGGATAATGCTCTGCAGTTTCAAGATGAAAACTTAAGTGAGGTAAAGCCCAATTTATATTCATGAATCCCATCCATTTCTCAATAGGCTCCCCAGGCAACAGATCTGCATCTAGAATGGTTTAATTGCAGCTGCCCATTTCTTTAAACGACGTTACAGACGGTAGGTAGCAGGATGGTCCCTAAGACAGGAGGCTTTCTGGAATGTGAATCTGAGCCCTGGTCCAGAAATAGATGGACAGAAATGTGAGACCACTGACCTAAGAACGAACTAAGCGTCTGCCCAGGACACAACCCACCCAAAGGCCGAGACGGCAGAGCTGGAGGCAACCTGCTTATCTCGTCTATTCAAATGAGAAATGTGTTCCAGTTTGTCAATTCTTGGCTGTGAAATGATCACTTTTTCATATTTATTGAGGATTAGCGAGATATAATACATCGTACAAAACAGAAACAGCAACAGTGGCTGCCCTGTAGGCTTGCTATGGAAATCATAAAGACATTAGCTATTTTTATTTCTTTTTCAGCCAAGATTCATTCAATTTCCAAGTCCCGTGTATCATTTGTTTTCTGAAGGTAAAAAGGTTAGGAATGGACAAGTGCCTCCTAGCAAATAAAAAAAAAAAAAAATGCACTCTGCTGGGATTGAGGGGTTGTAAGATTTAAAATGTCTGGATCTGATCAGTCGGAAAATGTACTAGTGTTCTTTTTTTTTTAATTTTTTTTTTTTTCAACGTTTATTTATTTTTGGGACAGAGAGAGACAGAGCATGAACGGGGGAGGGGCAGAGAGAGAGGGAGACACAGAATCGGAAACAGGCTCCAGGCTCTGAGCCATCAGCCCAGAGCCCGACGCGGGACTGGAACTCACGGACCGCGAGATCGTGACCTGGCTGAAGTCGGACGCCTAACCGACTGCGCCACCCAGGCGCCCCTGTACTAGTGTTCTTAGTGAAATACAACAGTTATTGAATACTCTTGGTAGTTGCAGGATACTTCATTAATATTCTGCCAAGGCAACGTTTCTCTCGATGCACCACAATTAGGAAAAAATCAGAATGTAAATTGATGAGAGGCTATGAATTGGCAAGATTGTGATGGACCTATTTTAACTAGTATTTGAATGCTCTGTTACAGAGCCAACATTTTGAAACTGAAGGCAACGTCAAAGTAGCAACCTGTATTTCAGGGTACTGTCGCCTCAGCTGTTGTTGGGTTACAGATGTGAAGACAGGGAAAGGAGTGGTTAAGAGGGCAAGTGCTTATAGAACAAAGAGAAGCTACCACCTCCCCTAACCCACTCAAGCACTGTCATTCACATGTTGTGTTTATTAAGTAAAATATTCTTAATGTGGCGGACTGTCTTC